TTCTTGCCATCCAAGGATGGATCATTATTTTGGAGAGATTCAGAGGCCCTGGCATAGCAGAGGTCAAATGTTATCTTCTTCCATGGGAAAATAATGAAATGGTGTAGTGGATTGAAAAATATCAAACAAAACTTAAGGTTTCACTCATAATGAACAAATATTAAAAAAATGGTGCTATTGTAGTTGGCCTGAGTATATGAAGAGTATGGGGGGTTGCAGACTGCCAGAAATAGTGCAAATTGAGTCCACTTTTAGGGTTAGTGCTAGGGAATCATGGGAACTGTATTTTTTTCTGAGACACTGAGCCTTCTCTGTCAGAGAGCTCTAGTGCCGCAATAAAATACAGTTCCCATGATTCCCTAACCCTAACCCTAAAAGTGGACTCAATTTGCACTATTTCTGGCAAGTCTGCAAAGGCCCTATGTGAACAAAGGTTGGGTTGGGGGGAGAAGAGGATGCTGTCTTTGGCTTCACTGTAAAATATAAGTAAGACAGTTATCTAACTATGAGATTCTGTTAACAACAGAGATGAGACTGTGTTTTCTCCCTCCATTGTTGATTTTGGAGGCTTTGTAAAGAACATAGGGCAAAGGGCAAACTTCTGCTCTTGACAGAAAGCCTGTTGGAAAAAATAGTGATTATGGCATAGGAGCAGCTGCTATCCATGTTAAATCAGCAGCTGGAAGATTCTGCATTTACCAAGCATGACCTCACATCCTCGTTCCTTTCAGAGGGAATTGTTTCCATTTAATTCCTGAAGATCAGAGGGCAGCCTAAATGACAAGGGTCTCTTTAGCTTAAATTTTGAAAAGGAAAAAAAAAAGGCCAGTATGCAAAAAAATGCAGTGGATGTGGAACCACTATGCATGTGGAAAAGAGTTTCTGACCAAGAGATAAATAATATAATTGGCGCCGCTGCTATTTCTGTTATCTAGTTCCACATCAGCCTAGTCAACTAGTCAAACAAGACAGGAAACATCCAGGGGGTAGCCATGTTAATAAATAAAAAATCCACCAAACAATGATACCTTTATTTGGCTAACCAAAATGCACACATGTTGCAACCTTCAAACCTCCACCGGCTTCTTCATCAGGTAAGGTGTTAAGCCGGTGGAGCTTCGAAAGCTTGCAACATATAATTGTGCATTTTGGTTGGCCCAATAAAGGTATCATTGTTTGGTGGAAACAAGACAGGGTTTTGGAAGAGCCACTGTGGCTAACTCAGACACTGCAGCAGGACATGTAAGATTTGAAAAGAATAAGGAAATAACTCGGAACGAGACTACAGGCTAGCACTGTAGTCAAACCCCTGGTCCATTTCTTTGCCAAGTATGAAGGAGATAGGCCTGGTGAGTGTCGGGTGTACAGGTACTAGCTCTTGGCTACCTGGCCTCTCTTCCAGCTCTCATTTCAATGGCTGAGCTTGTTACTGACCTAGCGACTGACAGTCTTCAAATGCAAGGCTCCCTCATGAAGGAACATTCCCGCAGAAAGGTTGGTTTTGCTTTATCTCATTCCTCCAGGCTGCTAGCTTCTGGTGGAAGGATTGCCACTCCTTCTCCCTTTTAAATGGGAAGAGTTGCCACAACAGTTTTGCTACAGGCAAAAAATTGCAGCTGGTGAAGCTTTTTTCCTGACAGTTCATCTGTATGTCGGAAAAAGCCTGTTCGCCTACTTCGTGTCAGTCTCGAGTGCACTTGTAAAGGCGGAAGATACTTGTCTGAAGTTAATTTGTACCCCCCTCTCCCCTCCAGCTGTTGCTCTTTGGCCCATTTTCTGATTAAATGTTTGGAATTAAAGCACTTGGGGAAGAAGCAACTAGAAGGTTCGCCAATAGTTTTTAGTAATATGGCCATAAAGTGTTTATTGTGTGTTCCTTTAAGTTATTTCTGACTTATGGTGACTCTCAAGACCAGGGGTAGGCAACCTTTCCCCTTTAAGGGCCGAGGGACTTCAGCTCCCAGAAGCCTCAGCCATGTTGGCCAATAGTCCCATGTTGGCCAATAGCTCCTGGGATTCTGGGAGCTGAAGTCCCTCGGCCCTTAAAGGGGAAAGGTTGCCTACTCCTGCTCAAGACACACCTATCATGAGGTTTTATTGGCAATATTTGTTCAGAGGAGGCTTCTCATTGCCTTCCCCTGAAGCTGAGAAAGTGTGACTTGCCCAAGGTCACCCAGTGAATTTTGTGGCAGAGTGGGGAATCGAACCCTGGTCTCCAGAGTCGCAGTCCAACACTCAAACCACTGCACCACACTGGCTTATGTTTAAAGTGTTTAGGCACCCGGCATTTGAATTAGGAACTGCATAATCCAGGTTGAGGCCTGGCTTAATGAGTGTCCTATACTATTGCTTCAGTTTCAAATATGGTAAATTATGGCTAAGAAGAATGAAGATAAGGACTTGTTGGAAGCCATCCATAACTACTACTGCTTAGTTATGGAGGGTTTCAGGGTCTCTTTATTCAATTTAAAAGTTACTTCTCAAATTCCACACTTGGGATACAGAAGGGAGTAGAGCTGTATAACATCGCCCCTCCTTCCCATGCAGGATGACCAGATGTCCTCTTTTTCCAGGACATGTCCTATATTTTATCCTTCTGCCCAGGAGGAATTTCAAAATGTCTTCTATTTAGAGTATGATTAAGAAGCATTCATTTACTTTTATATTAGTGTAGTTAGTTTTTATTTTGCAACGTCCTGAATGTTATGATGCCTTGTCCTCCTTTGCGGTTATGACATCTGGTCACCCTGTTCCCATGGCTCTCCAGCTTAGTCTGACCTGACCATCCCAAAATCACACATACCTTCCAGTATTTGACAAATGAAAAATGGGAACACATGTGGCAAAAGTTATGAATCAAGAACACACACACTAGGAGAAGCTGCAGCAGTTTGCTTTTGCCTGCGCTTTCTGGAAAGGGCAAGAGTCCATCCCTTCTGCTCCTCTTTCCCCCTGCTGAGTTAATCTGAGTACAAACTACTTTTGCACTTTGAACTCAATTGAGCAATTGAGGCAAGCTGCAGATAAAGGGTGAAAGTGGGAGGAAGAGAGAAACTGGCATGATTAAAAGGAGCCAAAAAAGAGGGATAGCAGAGGATTAATAGGAGACAGTTGTTGCCAAATCGATAGTTGGGGGTTATGGTAATGGTTGTTTGGGTTTTTTGTCTTGGCAGGTATAACAAGATCTGCTTGTTAAGTAATCAGGAGAGGACATAAAAATCAATTATTTGAGTCCTGGGATGGTGATGATGCCTCTTAAAACCACAAGCATGCTCTCTGGGTCTGGAGCTGCTGATCTGACTCTTGCCAATTGACAACTCTTGTAATCTAAGTTCTACTTAGCACATTTTGTTCAACCAGAGTGGACCTGACAAGTCATAATTCCAAGTAATTGCCTGTTTACTGAAAATGTAGTTTTTACCCAGCATCTCTTACACCAACCATAAGCCCCTCTGGGGAAATTACAGAGTTAAACTGACTTCGGGCCTTTGCAGACTGCCAGAAATAGTGCACATTAAATTGAGGCACTGCCCTGGCTCAGTGCTAGGGAATCATGAGAATTGTATTTTTTTCTGAGACATTGAGCCTTCTCTGTCAGAGAGCTCTGGTGCCACAATAAATTACAGTTCCCATGACTCCCTAGCACTGAGCCAGGGCAGTGCCTCAATTTAATGTGCACTATTTCTGGCAGTCTGCAAAGGCCCTTCCTCTGTTATTATTGCATTAAATAATTATCACTGGGGGAAGGAAGGAGGTAGTCAGTGAAAAAGAAATGGGATTCAGGGGATCACATCATGTTCATTTTTTACGAGGGTGAAAGAGAGGCCAGCAAATTTTCTAGCCCTTGGACCAGTCTATTAACAGAGGTTGCCTGCTCTTTTTAATGAAATTACTTATGAAACAACATGCAAAATATAAAACTAAATTGGTTAACTGCAAAAGAATTTGATTGCTATTTGAGCTGTCCTTTAACCTTGACAAATGAAAAATGTGTCTACTCTAACATAAACCCCATTCTGTGTCTACTCTGACATAAACCCCATTGCACACAATTATTCTCAATAAAATATGTTAACGATTGCAGCCTAGTTGGAAGGATGGGGTTACACTCCCTCTGAAATTTCAGGTTCACCGTTCCTGGATTCAGATATGACCCTGGATGCCCAGGTTTTGGCTACGACCAGGAATGGTGAGTGAAGAGTGCTGAGGATCCCATGACAGCCAAAAGGACAAACAAATGGGACCTAGAGCAGATCAAGCCAGAAACCTCCCTGGAAGCCAAGATGACCAAACTGAGGACGTTTTCACACGGGGTCCCTAAAGCCGGCTGGAGTCCTTCCCCTAAAGCCGGCTGGATCCCCGTGCCGCCGACGCCGGAATGACTCCGCCGCCGAAAGGCTAATTCCTTTTGCCACCCGGCATTACCTGAAGCCGGCGTTAGCCAGGAATTAGCCTGCCTCCGCCGGAGTGACGCCGGACTTAGGGCTCCGTGCGTTTGAACACACGGAGCCAAAAGCCGGCCTGACGCAGGGATGACGTCAGGAGGGGCGGGGTTTGCCGCCGCGTGTGTGTGAACACACGGAAAATGGAGACGGAGTGGGGCCGGAGTGAGGCCGGCTAGCCTCCTCAAAAAGCCCCGTGTGAAAACGTCCTGAGGCTGTTGTACTTTGGACACATCATGAGAAAGAAGGACTCATTGGAAAATACAATAATGCTAGGAAGCATGGAGGGAAGCAGAAAGAGAGGAATACCACATGCCAGATGGATGGACTCTGTTAAGGAGGTCACGAGTATTAAGGGGTGGGAGGAATTAGGCAGAGCAGTGGAAGACAGGGGAGCTTGGAGATGTCTCATCCATAGGGCTGCCATGAGTGAGATAGACTCGAGGGCAGTTAACAACAACAAAGGAGTGCATTTGCACACTTAAAACTAGTGTGCCAGCTGCGCCCATTCCTTGAAAAGTCAGATCAGGCTACAGTGGCACACTCCTTGGTTACATCCTGTTTGGACTATTGTAAAGAGCTCTACATGGGGCTGTCCTTGGAAACTGTTCGGAAACTTCAGCGGGTGCAAAATGCTGCGGCCAGGCTTTTAACTGGGGCTGGCTACAGAGATCATGTCACTCTGCTACTGAAACAGCTACATTGGCTACCAGTCCATCTCTGGGCAGAATTCAAGGTGCTGGCTTTAACCTTAAAAGCCCTAAACAGGTTGCGTCCAGACTATCTGAAGGACCATATCTCTCTATACAAGCCAGCCCTGGCACTAAGATCGGCAGGAGAGGCTTTCTCTCAGTCCCACCATCTTCGCAGATGCAGTCGGTGAGGACTTGGGGGAGAGCCTTCTCCATGGCTGCTCCCAGACTGTGGAACTCCCTGCCACAAGAGGTCAGCTAGGCCCCCTCCCTGCTCTCTTTCCACCGGCAGCTGAAGACATTTTCATTTAGGCAGGCGTTCGGTGGATAGATTTTATTTGAGTAATGTGGTGTGCTGTTTTCATGTTTAATTATTTTTAGTGTTTTTAACTATGCTGTTTTTAATCTATGTTTTAATGTTAGTAGTATTTAATTACTTTTAACTTTTTAAATCAATGTTTTAGCTTTGTCTTTTTTAATAGTCATTCCTTCCAATTCGTGGGGGAATCTGTTTTGGACCCCCCGCGAACTGGAAATATTGCAAATACTGGAGCCCCATTGGTTAGAATGACCGTGTGCTCACACCTGTGCACACCATTTTGTGCCTTGCTGCTTGCCATCCGCGAAAGACCGAGACCACAGACAGAAGTCTGCGAACGGTGAGGGACGAGTGTATATTGTAACCTGCCTTGAATTCCACTGTGGGAGAAAGATGGGATATAACTCCAGTAAATAAATAAATTGCACAGTGTTTGTGCTGCCAGTGTTGATTCTGAGTCTAACCACAATCAGCTAATTTGCTTTGTATCTCAAGCAGCTTGCATGCTCTTGAACCTAATCCCTATTTTTTTTCTCTTCTATTTTGGCTATCATTAAACCATAAAAACATTATACTCTTGTGTTTGCACTGTGTTCTGGGAAATAATCATTACAAACCATCTTAAGCCATAAATTGAAGTTAACTTGTTGTCAAGTTCAACCCCCTTCGGTCCAAAACACACTGCGGAAATAATCCAGTTTGAGACCGCTTTAACTGCCCTGGCTCAATGCTAGGGAATTCTGGGAATTGTTGTTTTGTGAGTCATTTAGCCTTCTCAGTCAGAGAGCTCTGGTGCCACAGTAAACTACAATTCCCAGAATTCCCTGTCACTGAGCCAGGGCTGTTAAGGAGGTCTCAAACTGGATTATTTTGGATGTTTTGGATCTTCTATGCAGGAATATATAATTAAAATACTCCTGACAGATGGCTATCTGTGAGGTAGAAGGGTAACAGGATATTTGTTAAATATTACAGGTGTACTAGAAGTACAAGAGCCAGTTTCCTATGAACGCATCCTATTTATTATTTAAAGTATAGCATTTAAGCGTAGTGTGTATAGACCCTAAGTCATGTGAAGGGAGCTAATTGTGAGAATGTTTAACAGAAAAATGTCACATGAACAAGTGATGGGGTATTTTGTGATAAGAACCACACCTTTGGTCTTGCCAGCACTAAAAGTGGAAGGATTATAGTTCAGAGAGGTACAACACATGCTTGGCATGCCAAAGGTCTCAGGTTCAAATCAACACACACACACACTTGCAAGATAGCATTGGCAAAAGCTCAGATCTGGAGAGACATTGCCCTTCACAGACAGTCTATATAGAACTAGCTGGATTAATTATCTGTACAGCTGTCTTGTATTGACATCTGTACAGGTTTCTCCTGGGATGAACACATGGAGAAGCTTCCACAACAATACTGTAAAACTGGAAGAGTGCGTAGTGTAGGGCCACATGATAGCCCAGTTCTCATGTTTCACCCATGTGCTTAACCAAAGGCATGGAAAAGAAGCAGGAATCTATCCACTGCCCCCATCCCTGACCTCTGCACATTCAGAAGAAAACTAGAGGCACAATGTGTTTACAGATGTGCATGCATAAAGGCCAGTATCACCTTCCCCTGAATGTGCCAAGGTTTGAGGGCAGAGCCAGAGGGCATGATTCAGCTCTCCCACCACCCACTGTGTTCAGTCAATATGAGCCCTGAAGTGGAGAAGTGGAGTAAGGAGAAGAAAAGGATTCATATCCTAGGTGGAAATTATCTCCGTGCCTCTGAATCCAGATCCTTTGAGTTTTGTTGTT